AGCCAAGATTTGGCACGTTACCTGTGCTGAATGTGCCGAAAAGAACTCACGATACTCCTAAACCGAAACAAAGAACTCCTCGCTCTGTAGTGAAAGATCATTTGCCAGTGCCACGACAGGCCGTGTATAAGAACTTCAAAGAACTGTGTCAACGAACATCAGGGCTAAAGAACTTAAACGACTGGAATATGAAGTTAATGAACGACAGATTTGTTGTAAAAAAGATGCTGGACCCTTTCCTCATTCCAGAATTTTAAATTATTATCGATGACAGCCTTGGCTTCACAATTAAAGTTTTTGGATGCTTTTTGCCTGAAGATCATGCACTGTATCTTGAAAACCTAAGGTCAACCAGGCATGTGACTGTATCCGAACTTGTAAAAAAGCTAGAAAGCTATAAACTGTGCAGTGGGGTGCAACCTGGTGAGCTGACAAGCAAGCTTTTCCATCATGTCATACCTTTGAGTGCTGATCCACTGTGTGAAGATGATCCAGGTCAGCTTTTCCCCATCAAAGGCTACTGGAGACTGAAGGACTGTTCAGTAATGTGCGATGAAGAGGAGTCTGTTTGCGAACCTTGTAGTGAGTATCTTACAAGTGCCATGAAGGTAAGAAAAGTAAAAGAGAGACGACTTGCTACACCTGCCCATGTGAAAGCACCAGTGTCAAAAACAAATCCGGAAAGGCTAAAACTGACCTTGCAAAGCCAACGCTTAAGATGTGCTGAACTTGAAGAAAAACTTAATGAAATGAGCATGGAGATTCAGAGAAATAGCATTGAAGTTGATCATGAACTCAGCAATGATTTTGCAAGTATTCTCAGTGATGCAGATAGGGAAATCACACCATTTATGAGCCTGTTCTGGCAACAGCAGAAGAAGTTATTTGCCAGTACGGCCAAAGGTGTCCGTTACCACCTCATGACTATCAGATTCTGTCTGTCGCTTGCCGCCAAGTCTCCTGCATGCTACGAAGAGCTGCGGAACAGCAACGTCCTAGTACTACCTAGTCAGCGTCGTCTTAAAGACTACCGCAATTTCATCAAGCCAAAGAGGGGTTTTCAGGAGGAAGTTGTTGAAGAGCTAAAAACTCAAACTAATTCCTATTTTGACATTCAAAGATATGTGGTATTGCTGTTTGATGAGATGAAGATAATGGCAAACCTTGTACTGGATAAAGTGACAGGTGAACTTATTGGTTTCACTGATCTTGGAAATCTAGAACTGAACTATGGTGTACTAGAGAAGGTAGATGAAATTGCTACTCATGCCCTATAGCCTTACTGGTACTTTGCAACAACTGGTGTTACTGCTGCCCAGCTGATGCCTTTGTTCTGGGAGGCAGTTTGCATCTTAGAAACCACCTGTAATTTGTGGGTCATTGGTACTACTTCTGATGGTGCTTCACCAAACAGGAAGCTCTACAGACTCCACAAACCACTTGATGGAGATGCACCTCATGATGTGTGTTACCGGACCATAAACCTCTTTGCACCTCACCGATTTGTGTATTTCTTTGCTGATGCCCCTCACCTGGTAATGACCACCAGAAATTGTCTGCTTCACTCAGGCTCTGGAACATGCACTAGGTACATGTGGAACAATGGACAATTTATCTTGTGGCAACATATCTCACACATGTTTTATCAAGACGTGGACAATGGACTGAAACTGTTACCAAAGATAACCTACGACCACATCAACCTTAACTCATACTCAGTTATGCGTGTGAATCTAGCCGCACAAGTGTTAAGTGCAACAATGGCTGCTGTGCTTAAGACTTTTGGTCCTGCAGAAGCTGCAGCCACATCAAAGTTTTGTGAGATGGTGGATGGCTTCTTTGATTACTTGAATGTGAGAAGTACAACAGAGCATCAGAAGAAACGAAAACCTTTCCTTGCCCCATACACAAGTCTTGAGGATGAAAGATTCCAATGGCTACTGGAGTTCCTAGATTATTTAAAGAGATGGAAAGAAAGCACAGAGAACAGGCCAGGAAATTTCACACCGAATGCCAGAAGTCGAATGTTTGTCTCATGGCACACTTACGAGGGATTCCAAATCAGCGTGCATTCAGCTATTGAGGCAGCAAAATTCTTGCTTCAAGAAGGCATGGAATTTGTTCTTACCGAGCGATTTTGCCAAGACCCACTGGCAGAGTACTTTGGCAGTCAAAGGAAACTTGGCCGACGAAATGATAATCCAGATATCAAACATTTGGGTACAACAACAACACTATTCAAATTCAGCGAGCAGTGTCCTGCCAAAGTGGAAACACAAGAGGGAGAAAGGACAAAAGGAGAAGTTGGGAGCAAGTTATCGATGACCCGCTACCTAGCCGAAAGAAACCCCGAAAGTGACAGTGACTAATTTTTAACTTAGGCTCTATTCTGGAATTTATGACTGTCCACATCGATATAATTATGTATAGAAGGCAGGGTTGTTCACAGCATGATTAAGCTATTCCAGGACAAGTGAAGATTTTTGTTGCAGTTTTTAACCTTTTCAGTGAGCTTTATTTCTGTTTACATTTTCTTACTTCCAGTTGACTTACCTCAAATTCTATAAAACATACTATCTGATAAGGACAATCTTTTTCCAGGGAAATTGAACCCTCGAGCAATGCTTAGTCCTGATCTAGTGTTAGTCAGCTTTCAAACAACCCAGCCCAGATTCCATTCATAAATTATTTGACCCGTTTGTACTGAAGATGGAACTGAATTTATTGTTTTATTTGACTTTTCAATACAGTTAGGAATTTTTAGTGACAACGAAAATAGTACAAATTTTAAGGACTGTGTCAAAACAATGGTACCTTTGGTTTGAATGAATTTACTTGGCCCTTTATAGTTGGCCATTAATCGCATAGTGTGTTGAGGTTAATGAAGACTTGATTTTCAGTGTGCTTTTATACATTTCAGGAAAGTTTGTTTTTAATTTTAAACATTAGGCACTCAGTCCCAGATCGATCAAAATAAAACTTCTGCTGCAAATATTTTAAAATACATCAAGCCTATCTCAGACTATGCCTCTGGACCAGTGTCATGAAAGCTGAAATGAATTTAAGCATTTTACATGCACATGTACTCTGAGAAAGGCATGGAGACCATTAGCGAGAATTTTTATGTTGATCATGGGGGTTAAGTGTCGACTGATCGGGAAAAAATACTAAACAGCCTCTTAACTGACACCCTTTAGGGTTCCAGAGAAATAAGGATAGTTGATTCAAAGTGTATCTAAAGTGTGATTTTATTCATAGTAAATAAGTACAAGGAGTATAGTTTAAGACTCATAATAGTTTTCATTATTGACCTCACTGGTAACATGTGGTTGTTGTTACACATGTTTAAAAATTCATTGTTTTACCAATAATGAATTCAAGTTTAATTAAAATTAGAGTACTTCTAGCTCCCTGGTGTTAACATGAAATTTATTGTTCTAACTGGTACAATGTGAATGGTGGTACTGATCATTAGGTGCTTATGTAATTAACAAAATAGTCAAAATGAAATGTGAATTAACAGTCTCAGTCCTGCCTTTGTTGCTCTTCCCCTTTACAACTTCTACTGATTTCTTTGCGTAATGCCCTTGCTTTGCTTTGCCGCAATCTAGATCACTGAATAATATCCTTGGCTAAAGAGAATGAGCACACATTTATGTACAGACTTACAATGGCATGCAAAACATCCTTGCAAACATGACTGTCTGGTTCAAGTTCTGCATCTGATATCATCAAATTGTAGTTAGGATATCACTATCACTCGTTGCTTTGTGAGTTATACCAGAAATATCCAACCTTTGTAAATCAGTTTCGGATGTAAATTGCCTGAAATGACATTCTGCTTTTAAAAATATCTGCTGTGCAGGGTGAGTGAAGAACTGGGTTGACTTTGCAGCAACTTTTGCATAATATTTGCCATAAAACTTCCCTGTGTCTCCATTTCTTGTATATCCTTCAAAGATTGTTTTGATGGCAGATAATTCATTTCTATCTTCTTTTAGCTGTACCTCTTGGTTTAAATAATTGCTAAGCTCAATCTTCAAACGTTCTGCGAAAACTTTATTTTCCTTTACATTACGGACAGCATGGCCAACTATTTCTACAAGAACACTTGGGCTTAACTGTTGAACTTGCTGCAATCCTTCCTGTTGATTGTTGTATTTTGCAGCCCTGTGTCTCTAATAACCTCTTCTGGTTTTATACTTCTTTCCGCAGTCAAAACAAATAATTTCTTCACGCTAAGCCTACAAAGACATCAAAAAATGATAACTGTAAAACAAGTAGACTACTAAATAGTTTAAACATCAAAAATTCAATGGGGAAATTGTACGTTTGCTTTTTTCGAGTATTGTGAAGGAAGCTCTATAAATTGCAAGGTTTACCCATATAACCAAATCACTACATCTCGGAGCTTTGAGCTTTCTCGAAGCTTTTATATAAGTAATCCTTGTTTCAAAAGAGTCCTAGATGAGATTTTCATCGAAGGAAAGCCATATATAAGCTCAATATTTGCGTGAGCATTCGTTAGATTTCGTTTGTTTACACGAGTCGAGCAGACTATGCGTAGCAAACTTAAGAACAGTAATGCGAAATTTCGACTCAAAATCACAGTTTTTTCAGCTTACATTTCTAACTGTGACTGCAAATTATTCCTCAACTTCTTTAGTGTCTTCCAAAACGTCCAAACTGGCCACAAAATCGTCTCCCCACAGAAACAGACTGTCTGTAGTGTCCGCCATCTTGAATGAACTTGTGCACGGTCAGAGCCACGTGACGGGTCTGTTCAACATCGGAGACCGCGCTATTGTTTAACCCTTTGAAGTTTGCCGAGTTTCATAACCATTCCCCTCTACTAACTATGACTGAAAATAGAAAGAAAGAGGAAAAAAAACTTCTCTGACATGTTGAAAGTCTGATTTAATTAAATTGCACTTTAACTTGGTGCCACACAGTCTTCAAAGAACATTTTAACAGTTTTCATACTTTTTACCTTTAAAAATATCGGACTGAAAAGAATGTCGTAAAAGGCCCATTAAATAAAAATATCAAACTGCTACTGCAGAGACGTAAAAGCCGTCCAGAAATGAAAGCTTCTTTTTTGTTTAAGGGGGTAGGATACCCTAAAATATGGCAATGTTCATGAAAAATTCAATTTCTTGGAAATACCAGACTTAAGGCCCTTGAGGACTTGTCAAAAAAACTCTGAAACGATCTTGCCGAATTTCTTCCGGATGAGTGTGAAATTTAAGGAAAGTACACAGAAAGTACAGAGTAGCAACGGCCATAGCAACGACTGTTTACTATAAGAACGTGACCAAAAATATAGATTATTTTTAACTTATATGAACGAAACTATTTAGAAAAAACTT